GCCAAGTGCAATATGCAAATTGGAAAAGCTGCACAAGATAAAATGTGTGACAAACAACATTATAATGAATTATTGTAAAGCTGCAGAGACTCCCTGACTTACATATGTTGTTCTCCAGATTTAAGAAATCATGTTTGTTTGTTGCAGACACCAACAAATATCACCTTAGCATTATTTTGTTATTTAAATAAAAAAATGTGTGATGCAAAAATGATAATTCCCACACTGATCGTGAATCACATGGCATTCGCAATATCTGTGAAAATATTTGTAATATGATATTTTTAACATATCGTGCAGCCCTAGGTTGATACTCACTACCTACCTTCGAGTTGGCAAAATTCTTTACAGTAGTAAGCTGATGTGTCAGAAAATCAAAAGCAACAAGAATAATAATAAGAAAACCTTGATTCTGTGTAGTTGAATTTGAGTTGTTTCTTACATTTAAAAGGTTGCTGGTTAACAATCTCTCTCTAAAATCTCAGATTTTGGTTTTTAAGCTTTTAAAAACAGTCCATGCACCTCATTACTACATATAACATTTGATAATTTACTGTAATTAATTATTTTGCAAGTCTCAAGCAAGTTTTTACAAGCTAATTTCCACAGTGTAATGGAATGAACTGAAACCAGGTCTGGTGGGAAATCATAAACATATAGTATGCCTTGAAAAATAGCCAGTGGTGATGTATACACAACTGTCCTCGACATTGTGATCCGTTATATTAAAGTGGTTTCTTTCTCTTCCAGGTGTGCTGACTCATGACATAGAAATGTTTGGGAATAGCTGGGTGGAGGCGGAGCCACACGAGACCAGATGTCCCATGGTGACTTCTGACTTCTCTTCACCCTGTGCTGCAGTCGAAACTCATGTCCTGCTGGTAAGGTGTCTGATAGAAACTGTAGGCCTTCCGGTTGCTCCACCTACACAAACACTGAATACTAACACAAGGAACCGAACTGACACATTGTTTTTTAATGACCGGGAATTTGTGTGTTTTTTGTGTCTGCAGAAAGTGGAGGAGGTGTGTGCAATGCTGCTGGATCCGCCATTTCAGAGCTGCCACGACTTTGTCAGCCCGCTGTCCTACATGGCCAGCTGCTCCAACGACCTCTGCATGTAAGATCAGCAGGCTGGGATCTGTCTCACGTTCATTTTATCTGGATAGTGGCCTTTGATGAAAGGTCAGGGTGTCACCAAAAGCATACAGGTTTTCATGGGAGTTTGTTTTTGAGAACCTGTGATAGTTTGGAGCCTTCAAAATGGAAAGGATTCATCCTCAGGGGAGCATGAATGTGCAGAGTAAAGGTTTTTGCGTTTTACTTCACGGACTTCAAGGGAGTCGGACAGAAGCCTGAGGGTCGCACCGATCCAGCACTTTATACAGGAACTGGAGGGAAACTTAAGGTGTGGGGGAACACAGTTAAAGGCAACATTTAGGATGTATTCACATCAAATTAGGTTTTCGTTGCAGCAAAAAGGCTAGTCCTCCCATTCATTTGACTGTGGGTAGTGTGTTTAGGCCACGGTGGTGGGAACTGCAAGGGATGCTGAAAATAAAACCTCAGTGGCGAAAAGTGGAAAAAAATATTTTACTTTTGGAAAAGCGCAATCCAACGTCAAGCTGCCGCTAATTGCCGCAACACAAATGTAAATGCAACTGTATTTAGTAATGGAAGACAGATTACAAGCTTCTGGGGCAACCCCGTAACTGTGTTTTTTTAGTTCCACTTTTCAAATTACTTTCACTTTCTGCGCAATTTCTCCATTTCATTTTATTGTCAGTTGACTTTTGTGACCATTTCTGGTAAACATTTTTGGCATTTTAATAGCAGTATTTAAAAAAACATCATGGCAGACAGCACTGCACACTGCTTCCAAAAAAAAACACCCACACCAATTTTTTAATAACTTTCTTTAATAATTTGATAGATATTGTTGGGCATCACTATTCTTTGAACACATCTTTATATCTTTTCCCACTTTGAGGTGTTTTTTGAGATTTCTTGGATATTTGCCTTTAAGTCCATGTCCACAAAGAAGACTGTGAGTACTTTTGTTGCTTTCTGGTTTTAAAATCCCACTCACAGCTCTCTCAGTTGTGTCTTCTGGTGGCTCAGGTCCATGATCCTGAACGTGCCCTCCTTCTGTGAGTAACATTAGCCCTGGCAGTCTGTTAACTCACACTGATTTGGAACAGAGACTAGTGCTAAAGACAAGACGGTTTACTGTATTCAGAAACAAATTTACCTTATCAGATGATTCACTTTGACTGAGAACATTACTGATACAGCCATACTACAACAAACCTTTTCAGCTGTAGCTTCCCATTTAAAGTCTAGTTGGAAGATTTCATTAATAGAAATGACTCCAGTTTTTCCAGATGGAGACACAGCTGGTGGGTAGTTATTTATTTGAGCTGCACAGTCTGATCAGGTCAGCGTACCTGGCTCTATGGCCACACCTCTCCTGGCTCCACTCAAATAGTCCTTCTCTGTTTGTTACTGTGTTGAAGGTCGGGTCCCAACGGTGATGTGGTATGCCAGGTGTTCAGCGAGTATGCCCGGGCCTGCGCCCACGCTGACCACCCACTGCACGACTGGAGGCAGCACATTCCTCACTGTGGTACGTTTTTTCCAGGTGTTTTAAGGTGTGCGCCACAGAGGACCAAAAAAAACGCACGTTTCAAACAAACACTAAAGCAGCTCAATTTTATGTTTACTTCCTCCTCTTTGTGAAAAATAATGAAAAAAAAAACAATGGAGTTATAGTGTGATTCATAATTATACATAGTTATTGTAGCTTATGAGGCTTTTTTCCTTAAAATAACACAAGTTCTAACATTTTAGTCCATTTTAAATAAAACATTAAATGATTTTTATCAATCACGTGTTTTGGCTTACGTAACCGTTAGCTTACTATTGCTAAGGTCAACTGCAGAAGATCTATTTACTGTCCACATTATTAACTACATAGCATTGTTTAGTTTTAATAGTTAACATACAGACAGGAATATTCAGCTTCAACTTCTTTATTTACTTAAAAATGATTTTGTATCATCTGTTTTTAAAGTTGGATACTGCCTGCCACACACACAGATCTGCAGTGCTAATCAAAGCTCAGCTGGTGAACAACATAAATTATAAATTGAACAGCAATCAAACTGGTGTTGACATAAGTTGGCATAAATTTCACTTAACATGACTTTAGACACAGCACATGCTTGATTTGTCCTCTGCATGGGAAATCTCTAGTGTCAGTTTTCTCCGTAGAAAATTTGACATCTATGTTGTGTTTCATTTTTGCGACCAGCAAAGCAGTGTTCCCTAGGTCTGCAGTACAGAGAATGCATCAGCTGCTGCCCGGCGTCCTGCAACATGGAGCGAACATGCATCGACAGCAAGCTGGCCTGCCTGGATGGTTGCTACTGTCCTGAAGGTGATTGTCTATTCAGATTCTATTGTGGTATCTATTCCTTGCAAGACTTCCTGCGAATACCCTTTTTATTACCGTTTCTGTCTTGTCTTCTGACCTTAATATAAACCAACCACTTTTCCTCTATATAACTTAATATTGGTCATCAGTTTTCTTTTGCATCCTTCAAAGTCATCGATTTACATCTAATCTTTTATTAAAAACACAGCATCATCTCATCAGTATTCTGATGTTTTCAACTGCAGGTGATATGAAGCAATACTCTTTGGTGTGTCTGTCTCTGCTGTTGTCTCTCCTCAGGTCTGATCTATGAGGACGGAAGCTGTGTGACGCCCTCTGACTGTCCCTGTGAGTACCACGGCATGTTTTATCCATCTGGACAGATGCTGCAGGAGGAATGCAACAACTGGTGAGCAGTGTTTAACCTCTCTGGATTTACCGGTTCAAATAATGTTCTTTTATGCCACACAATGTTTGGGCGGATTCCTGCTTTGTACAGTATTCAAACTCAACCTCTAATAACCTGCTTTTACTCCCTTTGGATATTAAATGAACCCTAGATGAAAACATGTGAGACCATGATGTATTTCATGTCATAATGATGTATTAAAAAAGCAGCATATTATCCCGCAGACTCCATACAGTCCTTTTAATCTTCTCAGATCTGACCACCTGGGCTCGCTGTGTCCAGTTTCTGTCAGTGATCCTGCTGATTAGCTCAGCCTTTAATGTTCCCCACCTGTGGACGTCTCTGCTTTCTGTTTCAGCACATGCGTGGGTGGAGTGTGGAACTGCACCGACTACAGCTGCCCAGGTTTGTGCCTTCCTTCTTGGTGGGTGGTTAAATTTTTTTGTGTTATCATTTTATTACAGCCTAAAGATGCTCTCAACAAATCATCTTTTCCTCGAGATTCATGTAAAAATGTCTAGTTAGGGAGCAAGAAAGGGGAGAGGTCCCTAATTGGGAAATAGAAAGGAAGAACCATCATTGCAAAGGTCAAGGAAAGAAAATGTCTCCTACTTTTGGAGCCAGGGAGAAGAAAGTCCAAATATATGGTGCAAGGAAAAACGTTATAGTTATCAAGAAAGGCAGGGAAGGAGGAGGCTGTCTAATTAGGGAGAAAAAAAATAATAAGAGGCAAAGGAGGGAGTAAACATTAAGAATCCCTCAATATGGTGCGAAGGCATAAGATGCTTCCTAGATGGATAATACTAGGCTCATTTGAGATGAGCCAGGCCTGTGCAGAATCATTCACTGCAATGCATGCTGGTTAGGTTTGTATCTGACTTGATGCTGCAACGATAACCTCACAAGATCTAGGTGGGTACAGTTTTTAGAGCCAGGCGCCATAGCTGCCCTCCACCGACTGCAAGACCCAGGGTGTGACAGGAAACGCCTGGCTGTCACCTGATCAAAGAGCCGATTGGCTCTTAGGTTTGACCACAAAAGGCTACAGATAGCTCTAACAGGATGTAAGTATTTCTGTGACTTCCTGTATATTATTTGAAGGGTGCTGGAAGCTGTCCAATGTGACTGCAGCTTTTTACTGCCACCTCCTTCTCCAGTTGCCTGATCTCTTCCACTTTCTACAGGAGGCGCAGTTCATCTCGAAAGAGCCTGTTAGAGAACAACAAACCAGGAAGTAAAAGGACAAGTAGTATGGATGTATAAAGAGAACTGGATACAGCATTGGAGGCGGCACTGCCTTCATTCATATGAAAGCTGCTCAGTGGCGCACAAAGCCGAAAAAGCTACTTCTCGGATGAATACATAGTTTCATGCTCTATAGGCCACTGCGGCACTAGAGACTTCCGCTGGCCGAGCTGGCTAACTTCCGGTTTATCCCTCCGTTAACTTGAATGGGGATAAATAATTAAATCTTAAGAATCTTCTAGACTTTGAAAATGTTATTGGACTGAATGGGTCAAATTCTGCTAGGGAAACAAGTCATTTTCGCAGAGGTTGAGATTTTTTGAATTTACAGCTGCTTCTTCCACAATGTACCCTTATGGGAAAAGTCTTTTAGGGATGGGCCGTTGTTGTAATTACTATGTACAATTGGCTTCAAAGCCTGGTGTTTCTCTTTGGGGCTTGACAAGGAAGGTCGAAGTTTCCTAGTTGTAGAGAAAGGAAGATGAATGCAAGGTGTCCACCCACTAGCTACCAGACTGTGGTTGAAAATGTCTTTGGATGAATGAAGGAATAAGTGAAAAATGTCTTGCTCTCTCTACAGGCGAGTGCTCGGTGACGGGCGATATGTATTTCCAATCCTTTGACGGAAGGCTCTACACCTTCCCTGCAACATGTCAATATGTCCTCGCCAAAAGTCACAACTCCGGGAAGTTCACAGTCACCATCCAGAACGCCCCCTGTGGAGCCGTAAGTTATATTTAATCTTCATTAATTTCATTTTATTTTTAAAAAATCGCCTTCCTATTGAGTGGTGACTACTTTTCTTTTTCTCTCTTGCACCCCTCTCCCACTTCAGCCTCTGCAATCAAACTGTTCTGCTGTCTTGGCTTACAGGTTTATGCAATTTGTCTGTCATGTAGATCATATCATTATTTAAGTGCTCAATAATCCCTGCTGAGCCCAGGTCCATTTTTGTTCAAGAGCCATGCTGCGACTTAGAGAAATGAAAGCTTAGAGGAAACGTCTCGATCAAATTGTGGCAGATAATGAACATGAAAAGCAACAAAAGACTGAGAGCTTCTTCTCCCCTCCTCTCCCTTCCAAGCCTTCAATTTCCCAGCAGCCTTTGAGCTGCTCAGCAAACAGGGGGCGATGGAGGGGAGGAGGCGAGATATAAGATGTCCCACTCATCAGAGCAGAGGCCCGAGACCTCTAACAGCCAACTGAACAGGATTACCTTATCTGGCCTGACTGACAGAGCTGTGGACGGCTTTGTAGTGAGGAGGGAGGTGAAGAGAGGCACTGGAGGGGTGGGGGACTTGGACAGAGAGAAGGTTATGCGAAAACAGGAGGTGAATGATGGGAAGAGTAGAAGGAGGAGGGGGTTGCTAAAACCTTTTCGGCTATGGGACTCTGCCACTTATGAAAGAGACGATTCATAGAGGTAGATCGCTTACTGTCAGCAACGCGCAGCCTTCTTTACTTTAAAAATATCAGAGCGGCAGAGAAGCTAATTGTACTTTTTAAAGTAGTTTTTAAAGACTTGTGACTTCTTGAGTATTTACATTTTCTGACAGTAAATTCAAAATGTACAGTGTGCTTATACAAAATTGCACTCTTCTTTTGATCATTTTGCCATGACAGTGTTTGGCTTAGGGAAGGCAGTGTCTGTCACAGATCGGACGGATTGTCAACAGTTTTGGTTTGGTATGTGTACTTGTTGCACCTTTGTCATTGTCCTCCAAAATGGCCCATATTACCCGAAATTACTCATATGCTCAGTTTCTGATTGCTTACATCCTTTGGTTAAATTTAGGCAAGTAAAACTACTTGGTAACGATTAAAGCTAGATCACCTTAAGGCAGTTATAATTAATGTCTTTGTATTGTTTCAATATCTTTGAGCTGTTATAGCTCACTCTCACTGCTTTCATAGAGCAAAATACCTCTCTAAAAACAGACTGTATTTTACCGGCCCAGCATCAAATAACCTTGCGAGGCACTGAAGATCACGCACAAATCCTTCTTGCCATGCTTCAATCTATGCACTTGTGTCCAACCGTAGTGGTACCAGATCAGTCAGTGTCACATGAGGAACTACTGGCAGCTACGGCTTGAGCTACAGACATGGTTTATGCTAGGTGTGTGAAGGCGTGTCGTAGAAGTGACCTTTGAAAACAACAATGGTGGCTGCTAAAGAGGTTAGTGTAGATGCTCCTTGCTCACAGAACCGTCTGGAAAGTCGCCCTTGGAAATGGTTTGGAAAAGCTTAGGCACTTGGCAGGTGATCTAACCATCTGTCTATCACCATTAATCACAGGTGAATTTCAACCAGTAAATGGTAAATGGACCTGTACTTGTATAGCACCTTTCTAGTCTTCCGACCACTCAAAGCGGCTTTATCGACAGAGGTGCACAACATCCTTGTCTTTTCTCTTAATTATGACTCATGATATTGACACCAGTGTCGCCTCGGTTCCTGCTCAAAATAAAGATATTCTCTGTGTGCAAAGGTCTTTTCTTCCTTCACATCAAAGTGTTAATTCTGTCTGTCTTTGACTGAAAAGCCTTTGGTTAAGTAATAGTGCTCATGTTAAAGGCACCACCCCTCAATTCACAGTGGTTTGAAAATCCTCGAACCTGCAGTCATCTATAGTAGGATGGTATATGCTTGCACAAATTTATTTATTGAAAACAACTAAGTCTCCAACTACCTAAGCA